ATGACCGCCCAGACGGTATATCTCGTCCCTGGATCGAGCCTTCCTCGCTCGAAGCACTAGCGCCTCTCTTCCTCTTCAGGCGCTCCACCGCCGGGTTGGTCGGCGTACCGCGTCCCGTCGCATCTTTCTCGCCAAACTCTTCGGTGTGCTTCAGGATCTTCTTCCGCAGCTCCAGCCACGACTCCTGGATGGCTTCATTATCGTATTCGGAGAAGGGCCGCGGTGGCACTCTCTTCGCAGTCGAGGAGCCCGTTGGTGGCGGCGGAAGCGGAGATAGCGGGTCGTCTATAGCGAGAGGCGACGTGTAGAAGTAGCGGACGGGGATCGTGGGCGGGGCTTCGGTGTTGTGCAGGACCTCGCGAACGTACTGGTTCGCGCGAGACGATAGTGTGGGCTCGTTGCCTGCCATGACGTCTGGCGTGGTTTGGTGTGGGCGTGAGCTGCAACTTTCAAGAGAAGCAGTCGTGGAAGAATCGCATCATATCATGGTGCGAGCGCGTATTCCGTCCCTCACGTGTTGGTGTGAAGAAGACAGCTGGCGTGGACGCGGTGGCAGCCTGAGGACGGTTGTTGTTCCTTGTTGTTCTAGGGCGGTATATTTCCGATCAGCATTCGGAGCACTGACGCAACCGCCGCGCTAAAACCGACGCGTGCCTCGACATGTGAACAGCCCTCCGTCAGCCGCCTCACCCACCAAACCTATACACAGAACATCCGCGTTTGCGCGAAATTGCGCCGAACCATCCGAAGTGGCATGTGCTCTAAGTTGTGCACGCAAAGTCTATACCGTTATTTCACAATGCCAACGATTCATAGTCATCGACCTGCACCACACATCGTGACCTTACCTGACATTGGACATGGCACCCCATAAGTATTTTCGAGCAAACATTCTCACCAACTCTCTAAGCAAACTACTACATTCACAGCAGTCTGATACAGGATTCACACTAGACCACCACCATGTCAATAACCACCACCATGACCATATCATCAAGAAAGGTACGCAACCAGCGCGACACGCTGTGCGTGTATACCCCCAAATCTCTACCATCTCCTCAACCCTTCATAAGCACCTTCGTGGATTCACCAAGAAAGCTGGGCAACACGCTGTGCGTGTCCACTCCTAAGCCACTACCATCTCCCCATCCCTCAGTAAGCGCCTTCGACGAACCACCAAGAAAGCTGGGCACGAATGCTCCAAAACCACCACCACCACCATCTCCCGGGCCTCTCGTAGGCGTCCTCGACGAGCTCACCGAATACTACGACAGCGAAATTGCTGCGTGGGAAGCCAAGTGTAATGAACAGAAAGCCTGGCTGGACCACGCTTCCGAACTCATCGCCGAGTACGAAGAAGAAAGGATTGCTGGGATGGAGCATATCGGCTTCCTGACCAAGTGTCTGTACGCGAACGAAAAAGTCCTGACGCAGTGTTTGTACGCCATGACGCTAATAGTAACGGTACTGCTGGTTCGCTGAAACTAACAAGTAGAGGAAATGACCGAAAGGAAAAGATGTCTAAAGCCACCCCTACTGTTACAGTCAGGTAAAGCCTCAAGCTGAGAAGAGCTAAAACAGTGGAAAGCGACCTTGACAGTTGGTAGGTGAATGCCTATACCGCGCTACCGGAGACGACGCGCTTGCTCTCTCTGGCACCGCCAAACGAGATAAGCATTGCGAAACCGCGCATACAGCAGAGGAACATCTCAGCCACCGAGTTTTGGGTAAGCTGAGATCAAAACAGGCTCGTGACCAGCTCGGAGATGCGTATATCGCGTGCTTCGATACTGCAGCTGTAGAGGAGTTGAGGTGATTGAGGAGAAGGAAAAGGTCTTGAGTGAAAGAAATACAGTCTAGTTGTACACGGGCAGGCCCATGTATCTAACACTCTGGAGACTGAATTAAAGGCTGCGCCCGAGGAAAGTAAGAGGGTGTCGTCAAAGTCGTATAAAACATAACATGACATGCATTCAGGCCAAGGGAATGAATGTGACTCTGTTCATGATGATGTAAATTATGGGTATCTTTTTACTCAAAAACGTACTTTTGCCCCCAACGCCCAACAACATAAAAAACATTTCACCTTCGATTCTGACTCCGCCATCCCAGCCCCGCCGCCCCCCTCGCAGCCAACCACTCACCCTCCGCCTTCCCCCCACGTCTCCCAAGCAACGCCCCAACATCAACCTCCAACTCCGTCCACAGCGCCTGCTCCACCTGCACCCTAAACTCCTTATCTTGACCATGACTCCCCAGCAACACGATTTTCCCCGGCGGCACACCCAACCCACTCACAGCATGAACAACAGCTTCCTGCAGCTTCGCCCAGAACTTTGCGCGGGGGGCGTCGTAGACGGGGAGACTCCACCAGCCGAGATCGTTGCGCGCGACGTAGTTGATCATGCGGGAGTGGGGGGTTGGTGGGTTGGTTTGAGTGGGGGAGCAGCTAGTTTCGTGCATGCTTGCGCTGAAGGAACTGGAGTCGAAGGCCAGGACGAGGATGTGTTGGTGTTGATGTGCAAGGGTCGCAGAGGCGCATGAAGCGTGTTCTAATCCAGCGTGTGTGGCGTATGCTTCCGAGTATATGCTCGGGGTATCCTCTGATAGAGCGAGACCAGCTGATAGTAAAGCGTTTTCAAAGTCCTTCTCATGGGATCCGTAGAAAGGGAATGTGACGGCCGATGTGATATTTGTGATTGGGTGTCCGAGTTCATGTTCGAGGGTTGCGTGGACTTGTGAGAGGAATTCTGTGAGGATTCTGCTGTCGTTTGGAGAATTTGATGAAGTGTGTGGTGTCATCCACCGCGACATTAGGTCTATGTATTCGGCGTCTCCGGGGATTTGGGCCAGGTCGATTGTTGTGCCGTTTGGGTATCGCGCAGCTGCTACTGCTTGTGAGGTTGTGAAATGGACGCCGATGCTGGGAGGCGCATCGAGTCCTTCTGCGCTAGTGTGTTTGTCGAGGGGTTCTTCGACAATGGGTATTTGGTGGTGGTATCGTACAGCTCGTGCACTAGCCAAAGGCACAAGCAGAAGAAGAGCGAAGAGTTTCATTTTGAAGTCGTGAGATGAAGATTGTTACAAAGAAAGAAGAGAGCGTAAGGAACCGACTACAATAAAGAGCGGACCCGAGTATTCGTAGGATCAGGTGCAGAAAGAAAGGATGGCACGGCGTGAAAGAGCGACGGTGGTGAGTAAGGGAGTAGTGGGTGAAGAAGCGGCAACGGCAACGGCGGTACGCTCGTCGTCCCCTCACTCCATCAACGGGGCGACTCCCGACGCCTTATAGGAGTCGTCCAAAGACATCCGATCGTACCGTCAAGGCAAAGAGGATCCGAGGTTCTGGTCAGGGACTTGTGGATCCGCCCACTGTTCCGTGGGCACTAGGGGTATACGAGCTAGCCCGGCGTGCGATCGGTCCAACCTAATGGCTTCAAAGAACCCCTCTCCGGGTCCCATGCAGGACAAAAAACGCATTCCTGGGTCTCGGTGACCGTGTCTTGAACCCTCCGTTGGCACTCAACATCTCGGAAAGCGAGCAAACGTGGGCGCGTAAACAGCTGTTGTGAAGCTGTTGGAAGCGCGCTGTGGCCCAGGTGTCAGTCGGCAAGGGACCGAAAATAGAAACTCGCCCAGACCCGGCACGCTCGGCACTACTAGAAGCTTGTCCTACCCCTCTCTCGTACTTTTCGCTCCTAGCTATGGCAGAACAAGACTCGGGCGAGCCTTGGCACATGTATTGATTGCTCATATCTTCTCCGCAAACGGTTCGAGGTCGAGTCAACTACCTGCCGTCTCATCGCGTGCGCGATTGCGATACGAAGGGGCGCTAGAGGACCCTGACATGCGCGTGATACTCGCGTTATACGGAGCAAATACGCTGCATCAAGATTTCTGTATAACATTAGGTGCAGGTATCGTGTGTCTAGGTGCCTCTTATAGGTAAAACAGAGTCGCGTGGTAAGGCCCAACCTCCGTTTGGGCACGTATAGGAAAACTTCTTCACGACTATCGATAGGCGTCCTGCCGTTGCTGCCACCATTGTGTGGCGCATGTTAAACCCGACAGCGGGACGCGTTCCGTTAGCTGCTCTCACGCGTCGTTCAAAGCAGAAGGTACAAAGGAGCTCATTCCGTCTGAGCCGTACTGACTATTGGAAACGCAAAAAGGATGCGATCGGTAAACTTCATGCAATGTGCGGAGTACATATTTCAACTTTGACACGCCCTGAGCAAATGTTCACGTTAGCCTAGCACTACACAGAGTGCTCATCTCGAGACGTTCGTGGCTGGAGAGCTCTCTTCTTCGAGTAGTAGTACTAGCTTTAGAAAGGCACATCAGCAAACCACATCAACATTTCTTCCTCAAGATCCTCGCAAGCGAAGAAACCCAATGAAAAAAAAAGAGTCGCGCCAGCCAGAAGTAGTGCAAGATACTGGCGGCACCGTAACCTCGAGGTATGAGCGAGCTCAGGGACCTTGTGGTCGAACTTTCAAAAATAAGAGTAATGGATGAACCGCCAGTAGCGGAATCATAGCTATTACACTATGAAGAACAGATACTACACTTTTGATCTAAGCCAGATTGGCAAAGAGAGCTGGTGAGCGGATGAGGGACGGGGGATGGGGGGGTTTATATAGGCGATGAGGATGGGCCGTGCGGCGTTAGGCGGGCGCACGTGAGACTGCTGCCTGGCCGAGGGGTTGCACGGCCGCGCACGTGTTGCGCTGTTGCCTACATCTCGAAGATCACGGCTGAGCGTGTCGCTTGCTTGTTGCCGTCTTTGCTGGCAAAAGAAAAAAAGGCGTGACCGCGAGTCTGGATGGAATCTCTCATGTATATTCGACGGGAAAGCAACCGACAGCGACGCACCTCAAAGCTACCACGATCATTCTGCATCTCGAAGTAACATCAATTATCAGCCCGAACCAGGGCTAGGCTCCATTCTGAGTCAAACGCTCATTCTCTTCTTCGTCGACAAGGTGGCTAGGTAGAGATCAATCTCTACCTAGATAGTTCGATACATCGTTCATGCTTGGCACGTTGTTGCCACTCTTCTCACTACCGGCATAGCCATGCATACCCCGGTGCGCCCCACTGTCCACACGCCCAATCATCATGTCTGCCACCCCATCCTCTATCAGAGTAACTGGGTACTCGTCATTCTCATCTTCAATCTGGTTTCTCAGCTTAGATCCCGTGCCAATGGTTGCAGGATGGCTCGCTTCGTCCAGCGGGTTGACTCTATTAGAAGTCCAGAGACGGGCAGGCGATATCAGTCTGAGTAGCGGGCGCAGGGTCATGATGCAGCAATTGATGATAGCTACAGCAGGCTCGGCGACGGACCAGAACACCGCATCGGTCATTACGTAGGGGAGGTTGAGGACGTTGGCCGAGACACGAAGGAGGACGACGATACGGATGAGAGTGATGGCTGTGACACTACGATGTGGGTTAGCTGACATCGACCTGGGAAACAGCTCCAAGAGGTACGCACAAGAGACCTATACCAAAGATCGCTATCAATCCAAACTTTGCAGCACGAGTCATTTGTAGTTTTCGAATGAACGGTATAGGCAGCAACATAATCATCAGATCTGAGAGCATGTTGAAAATACCCATCGTAACGAATGCCACGTTGGAGTTTGCGCAGTGCGTTGGAGACAGGATGGGGTCCCAGCTCGCCTTGAAAGGCGTGCACAAGAGGAAAACTTGGAGCGTACCACCCAACCAGAACAAAGGGATTATGCCCATGCATATCCAGACCCATATACGGTGTTCGCGTAGCGAGAATAGGCGTAGGTAGAATAAGAGGCAGGATAGCTTGATGGTGGAGATTGCGGCGAAGTACACAGCTTGGAAGGCTAGGAGCACCTTGACTAGGAAGATGCTGTTCGCAATGGGTATCTCAATGACGTGGTAACCCATTCCGTAATTTGCATCTGTGATCTGTATTCCGAGCAGGCCTACGTGGTTGGTCAGTGTCGCGCTTTAACTGTATGTCACCGCATCGCATGATGGTCGCGCCAAGGCTACGGCTTGTACTTACCGAAAGTGAAGATCAGTGAGCCCACCGCGGCGAAATCATCCCACCTGGAGCCTTGTTAGATCATGTAGCTCTGGGGTAAGCATTCTAGTCTTCACATACCATACCTTGGTCCTGCAGATTCGTCTCACAACGAACCGCAGCGCAACGAGCGTGGTAGCAAGACCGACGAGGAAGAAGTTCGCAGCCAAGTGTCTCGTGACAAGGTCAGAATGAAAGATATTCGTCTTCGTCAATGGATCAAAGAGTATCATGTTAGCGAGCTGATCTGGTGTTCTGGATAGCCTTGGAAAGGTATGGGAAAGTATATGATGGCATTTGAGGACTGATTACTGTTAGATACGGTGGATCTCTTCTTGCCCCCGCATGCATTCAATGACCCGACAGATTAAATCGTGTGGTTGGAAAACGCCATGGCGTTGACTCGAACCAGTCGTAATGCTGCGAGCGTAATGCGATTCGTTATTCAACCCCAAGGGGCTTTGCGCAAGGCAGAGAATCTGTTGCTGCGCAGTTTGTGCAACACATTGCCTGGCTAATGTCGATAAATTCCTCTACGATACTGGATGCTCGATAAGATTCGATAAGCAAGTGAAATTTTCCGAAAGACTGGAGACGAATCGCCATTAAGCTACGATATCGATTGCCGGGTATATATGCCTAGGTTGAGTCAGCTCGGGCTTGTATGGGCTGTGGCTTGGACTGTTATTCTTTAGAGGACCTATCTGCAATTAGCATGTTAGTTGACAGCCCCATTCAGCTGACAATCTCATCTCAGCTGACAGTATCAAGTTTGCCTACTCCACGGTTTCATGACGTCCCTTTCCTTGCGCAGCGTTCGGTTTGGCGAACTGCACGATTGAGAGTAATAGAATGTATAACTTATAGGAAGTTGTGTTACCAAAGGCCATCGCCCTTGCGCAAAGCACTGTTATTGAAAGGGATGCAAAGGGTGCGTTGCGGCATTGGCGGAGGACCATGCCCCGCAGTCACGTGCGCGTCGCGTACGCAAGCGATCACATTCGTTGGATCTTGCGTGCAATGTTGAAGCTTCCTCGATTGAAGTGTTGGGTCTTTGTTGTGCGGATGTAAAATTGCATTGTGTTGACAGAATGAATAGAGTGCGCCTTTAACTCAGACTGCTGTGTAGTACTGGTTCGGGCTGGTTATTAAGATTGGAACTTGGTACACAGTATGATTGCGATGGCTTTGATGTTGTTCGCTGGAGTCTAGTGCGTCACCACAGGTAGACGCAACGGTGCCTGCCTGGAGGTGGGATGAAAAGCGAGCCGCTTGTTATTGCGTCGCCTAACCACGACAATTTTGGCAACTGAATCACTTCTTCTTCCAGAGTGTGGCTAGAGACGTTTTGAGGCTGCAGTGGAGCGCGGGCGGGACCGGGTGCTGAGCCTGCAAAGCTTTCCGGCTCCGCGCCCTCACATGGAGGGATACTAGCCGCGTCTTTCGCGCTCTGTCTGCTATTATCAAGCAAGCAGGTGGATATTTCGCGAGTTCGCGACAAGATAGGCGCTCGGCATACCGTTGTGGACCCGCATACCCCGGCCCGCAGCCTTAGTGCCTCCCAATCATCGCTTGCCGTCTGCCGAGGGAGTAGCCGCCCGTTGCGTGTTGAGACCACGATGAGTCCAGATTAAAGGTCTTTCTCTATTGAGAAGGTCGTTGGTCCTATGGCGGGACAGTCGCTTAAGCTTTCGCTTTGTACTGCGATGGTCGCACTGCGTCTCCCTTGTGCCACCATAAGCACACAGATTTACCAATCGACAGCATGCACATCGGTTGCGTTACATCTATCGATGCGCTTTCCACGAGAGCGCCCGACTTCATCGTCATTGGCGGCGGTATCGGCGGGTTGGTGGTTGCCAATCGTCTGAGCGAGGATGCGGACAAGAGCGTGCTACTGATCGAAGCTGGGGCCAACCGACAAGGAGACCCCAAGATCGACACTGTTGGTATGCTATCAACGCTTTATGGAGACTCTTACTATGATTGGGACTTCATGTCTGAGCCTCAGGTGAGTCCAGCGGCACGATGCCATGTTGCCGTTAAAGAGAACATCGAACCCAACTGACAATCGGGCTTATTAGACACACGTCAACGGTCGCCAGATCCCGCATCCCCGAGGAAAGGTTCTCGGTGGATCTTCAGCCATCAACTTTGGCGCAATCGTGTATCCATCAAAGGCTAACTTTGAAGCCTGGAAAGCACTCGGCAATGATGGTTGGGACGCTGCTGGCATCGCGCCATACTTTCGCAAGTTCAGTCGCTTCACACCACCGAGTGCGGAAACGAAAGAACTCCTCAACATAGACTACATTAATGAGGAGTTGCATGGAAAGGACGGTCCTGTTCCAGTGACGATTCCGGACGTGTATGGACCGTTCCAGGCGTCGTGGGCCAAGACCCTGGACAAGATGGGTTGGTGCAACACGGATGATCCTATTGAAGGCGAGAAGTTGGGTACATTCGCGTGCGGATTGTCTATCGATGCTGAGACGAAGACTCGCGGCTATGCAGCGTCAGCATACTACACCCCGGAAGTTGCGAAGAGACCAAATCTCGAGGTCTTGACGGAGGCGTTCGTCGAAAAGATACTGACGAAGGGCTCTGACAGTGCTGTAGAGGCAACGGGTGTGAGTGTGTGGACAAAAGATGGATCGAACCATGAGATCGTAGCGAAGAAAGAGGTCATCCTTTCTGCGGGAGCCATTCAATCACCGCAAATCCTTGAGCTTTCCGGAATAGGCCAAAAAGAGCTTCTTGGCAAGCATGGTATACCGGTAGTCCTCGATAGCCCTGGCGTGGGTGAGAATCTCCAAGATCATGCCATCTCCGCTCCTTCTTTCGAGATCGCCGACGACCAGTTCTCTGGAGACATCATGCGCGATCCGAATATCGTCCAGGCCGTACTCCAACAATACATGACCACCAAGACCGGCCCGCTCGTCGGTATCCCAATCAGCTTGACAATGCTTCCGCTCGTCGACTCCGATGGTCGCATCAGCCACGAAGAGATTGCCCAATTGACAAAGGAGTATATCAACGATAAGGAACTACCGCTCTGGAAGAAGAAGCAGTACGAGCAGCTCGAGAAGCAAATCCTAGGCCCCAAGGAAGCAGCAGGATACGCGATGATGCTGCCACTGCAGTTAAACATCTCTTCTGGTGCAACGCAGATGAACGCATTGCTTGCGCCGACTCACCCCAGCAACTTTATCACAATAATGGCAGTCAATAACCATCCCTTTTCGCGCGGCTTCTGCCACATCCGATCAGCAGATCCGAAAGAAAAGCCCATCCTAGACCCCCAATATCTTTCTCATCCGCTGGATTTAGAAATCCTCGCCCGGTATACGCAATACATCGAGACCATCGTCAAGACCGAGCCGTTTGCTTCTCTTCTCAAGCCAAGTGGAAGGTTGCCGGAGGGCAAAGAAGCTAAGGATTTGGATACGGCGAAGGAGATCGTCAAAGAGCGATTATTGAGCACATTTCATCCGACCGGTACATGTGCGATGATGCCGAGGGAACTGAATGGAGTCGTCGACAGCAGATTGAAGGTATACGGAACAAAGAACCTTAGGGTCGTCGACGCGTCGATCTTCCCGATGGAGACGTTGGGTAATATACAAGCGACGGTGTATGCGGTGGCGGAGAAGGCAGCCGACATCATCAAAGAGGACTGGAAGCTGTGATAGCGACATGCGAGTACATCCATATAGATCCAAGGAATCGAGATCAGCCTATTCTAGCACTATCATCACATGCCCACAACGCTCGGATGGCGTCTGAACGTTGTTAGGGGAAAGTCATACAGGCGATGTTCGGATTGACTTGCTCGACTTGTTTGTTTTCAGCTCTGCCTACCACGTCGACCAACCACGCTCAACCGCTTGCTGATACGGCTCGAGCGTGATGTTTTGCGTATCGCCGTTGGAAAGGTAATACATATCCTCGCCCGCATGCTGAGGGCCAACACCATATTCTTCACCCTTTTGAAATGCTCGTAGATCGACTCGATTTGGCGGAAGCACGCCATCAACCGCACATTCTTCCATTACTTCCTCGGCCAGTACATGAAGCTTTTCTTCAGGGAGAGGATCGAAGCTTATACTGCGTGCAGGCTGCTTGTCCGTGCTCCAGTTGGCTCCTTGGTAGCTGTAGAGACGCCCTTGTAGCCAATCGCAATTTTCGTATTGTATGTAACTCGGTACGAAGCCAGGTAGACTACCGCTGGGAATGATGGATGTCTCATAGTGTATGATCTGGCTCGAATAGTCGCCTCTGTGGCGTTTCTCCTCGAGATAGTGGGCGATGCAGGCTTTGTCGCATTCTTCAACCGTTACACCAGGCATGGGCAGGAAATGTAACTCCAGACGGTAGGGACATCCATAGGCAAAGTACGGGGTGTCTCGGATGAGAGCTTCGAGAAGTTCGACCGGCTGGACATTCCCTGGATTGACGTCTTGATGGGTGAAATAGACGTGGAAACTGTAGAGCGGTGGAAGTGGACATGTTTGTCTGCCTCTAAACACCATGAGCGCCTCTTTGCCAGCATGGTCGGTGAATGGAAGAACATGTATTTTGACGCGATATATGCGACCCATTTTTCCCAGGCCTCCGCTCATGGTCGCGCTGTTTTCGTCTCTCTTTAGGATCGAGCGGGTTGTTGCAGGCTCAGGAGACTGATTCACGAACGGGATTGGAAGGCGCGTTGGTGCCTAGTCGCGGAAACGCCAGCGCACGTGCAGGACCAAGGCTAGCCGAATTCATCAGCCAAAGGTAGCTAGAGGCATCTCAGGCTATGTCTGATCACGTCGCGGTTGTACGTGAGTGTGTTCAGGTGTGATGTGCGTGACCTTCCGCACTGTTCCAGTAGTTGTGCAGTTTGCCTGTGGAGAGGACACTTGTTGGTGGGCGGCTTTCGTCATGACTCCGCACGTACACGCAAGGGACTGCAAATACTGTATCGAGACATGGCTGATAGTGTCCCGTTCAGACTGCGCGACGCCAGCGGAGCGGTAGAGAGATAAACAGCGTAAATGATGGGGAACAGTACCCGTTTTCTGGTGTCATGATGGATGCGACGCGTCGACGCGAGTGAGGCCGGTGACGCGTGAGGTCTGTGCTTGCGGCCGGGCGGGCAAGCCGTGAAAATCCCGTTGGGCAGCATCACGTGTCAACTGGAGCCTTGGCTTTGGGGAACGCTCAACTTTTGGTTCACAGCAAAAGCTCG